ACAAGCATTTGTGTGCGAATTTATTTTTCCTTTAAAAGACTAAAAAAACTTGTGTCAGTCGACGTAATCGTCCAAACAGCGTGAACAGTGACACGGACTGTTCGTGTGTGTGTGTCTGCGACAATGAAAATTACCCACATGTGCTAGGAAACGATCCTCGTTTGATAGACAACCAAACGTCGTAGATAAGCGGGCCACCCGAAGGAGAGTCGGATAGGGAAGGACAAAAAGGTGAACGCCATCGATTATTACGAGTCATGCTGCTCGGCAGAACCTAATCATAATTCGGTTAGACAGCTGCTGTCGCCGACTAACAGCATTCTCTAACGAGAAACCTTTCCCAGTGTTACTTATTGATACATATGCTTATGGGAAATCCGTGATACACTGTCCTACGGGCATTTGTTCCTTTTCGCTGCGTCCATTCGAATTCCGATGATGCATCAAAGCCTAGACAGACTGTTTGAAGTTACGGGGTTTGTCTTGGGTTATATTTCTTGGTGGTCAAAATGGATGATAACAGTATGATGTTGAGTACATCTTTCAGGTTTAGGTCATCATTCCTTGTAAAAGGTGCGCTGATTGTCAACACCTATCTCTGAATTACCCATAACACGTGTGCATGCGTGTATCCTATTTCGCAGACGGTGGTTTTCCTCAACGTCTGGAACGCCTGCTATCTGCACAGCCAAGTTTGGGGGCACTGAACGACCGGCTTTGTCTGGTCGATCCACTAGCCCCAATCGCTCAGCAGACTTGCATGGCCATTGAACAACTGGTTTCTGAGCAACGTCAAATGATTCAGGTACGTGGCACTTGGTATTTTCCTTCGTTTTCTTGCACTTTTTTCATTGTGTCCCTTCCCATCCATCAATTTAGGAATTAGAATGTACCCTCTGTTTAAGTCTGTTATCAATCGCATTTGGGCAAGATGGCTCAGTGATTAGAGCGCGAATTTACTGACCGGAAGGTTCGTGGTTCGAAACCGACCAATTCACCTCGACTTCCCCTGTCCAGGCTTGGGCAACCTGGTAGTACCTCAGCCCTCGTACTTTCTTCTGGTGGCACAGTAGTTAGGCACCGAAAAGATGCTACAGCTGAACGATCAATCGCACCTTAAAAATACACTGTTTGCAAACAGTGTGGTTTCGAAACATCAACCACATGTTCGAAGGAAGTGGATTGTTGACGTCAGCTGCTCTGGTTGTTCATGTTTAATAGATTCTCAGGTGACTATGAACTCAAGTCTGGTGTGAATATTTACTGGAACTTCCTCCATTGTCTCTTCAGTGCATTCCTTTTCTCATAACATATTTCTGAGGCACCGACTTTATCGATCTAGAGTGTGGTGGATCGGTTCGACTGACGGTCGCATCATCTAGTTAACTGGCCCCTTTGAAAACTCGCTACCACAAAACACCCTGAGGCACATGGTAGTAGGCTTACTATGTTCGTGGATCACACACCCTGAAGGCCCCCTCACGGGATCAGCACTTCGAATTTTCCATATTATTGTTTAAAGCGCCCAACAACACACGTACATACACACCACGTAGGTTCGCTCTACTATGTTAACTCCGCGATCAATCGATAGTTGCTTACATGCCGTTTTACTCGATCTCGCATTAAAGTCCTGGTTGCAAATGGCTGTTTTATTAATTTGGTGTAGCTGCTGCCCTCGTCATGACCTAACCTGGGTTTTTGCTACGGGTTATCGCTGCTGGATTGTTGCTCGAGGGTACGCCCTACTCCTCTCCTAATGCGACCGGATTCGTTTGGGTTTGTGAGAGCGAGTGTTGTACATACTCAATGAACAACCGAACAGGATAAGAGGTGCGACCTGTAGCACACGTCAGCAAGTCAGGAAAGTGCACATACCGGCATGCAAACGCATATCAAGTGATCTCGATCTTTGTCACATCATAATCCGTATGGAGTACCACATTTCACTGTGCGTGCCGGTGGACCCTTTTTATAAAGAACATGTTACATCTAGTGCAAAAAAACAATTCCAGGGAGCCGTGGGACCGAAGTCCCTCGGCGGGGTCTAGAGCGTGGAGATTAACTCAGAGTGCTGTTGGGCTGATTCCGAGGTTTGTTCTTGTAAGAGCGGTTAGGAATGGGTGACAACTCACTTCATGGTTTTCAGCCCAATACTGANGCGGTTAGGAGTGGGTGACAACTCACTTCATGGTTTTCAGCCCAATACTGAAATTTCAGCCGCACTTTTCCGCTACCGCAGCACCGATTTATGCGTAATTTGAATAAACTTCTCATTTGCATACTAAGCCAGCGTGAAGGCTAGCTTCTCTCTGTCACGAGACAACCGAATGTGCAGTGTAATATTACAATGGTTCTATGCTTCTATGTTAAAAGTCTTCTCATTAGTAAACCGAATCTGCCATGTCATTTTAAAACAAATATTTTCCTCTTGTTCTCTGATTTGACCTTATTCCACCCCCTCTACTTTGTGCTCCCATCCAGGGTTGGTGCGTTGCTTTGGCCAACCTGGCAGAAGTGACGGCGCGCGCTGAAAAATGTCTTACGGTAGATGCCGCTAGACTGTCAACTTTCGAGACCCGTGCCGGTGACTGGGAGGAGAAGTTAAACCTGTGAGTTACTTAATCGATTGACCGCTACGTTTGATTGTTTCTATCGTTTCATGTGTTCTCCGCGCTGTGACGCTCGTGCTCCACTGTAGGGAATTCCGCATCTTCGTGCTCCCACCGTTTTACGCCTAGGTTTCCGGTCAACTTACCATTTACCTACGTCGAAGCAACCCATTTAGCTTATCTGGGAAGTAATCCGAAAGTTTGTATCTCATATTCCTAACAGTACTTACGAATGTTTCAATTGGAGACCCTCCCGGGGGTAAATGATAGTCAATGTGCTTGTTTTTAACTGAGATGCGGGTAGATCGAACCAAAGCTTGACTTTCTGACCGATTCTATGTCATCTTCCGTGGTTCCTTTCGGTTCACATTGCGACTATGTGCCCAAAACAGTCGCTCGCCGGCTTTAACAGGACGGCTGATTTGGGCAATGATGGGAAAACACAGATACTCTAACGCTTAACTTTTTACGGGTCTTCGGAAGCCTCTTGTCATCGAAGGCATCAGGAACTAAAATGATTCTCTGATATACAGCAAAGATGAAAGCCTGAACCGTCGGGCACAATACTTCGAGGGCACCTGCTGCTGTCCCTCCTGGCTGTCAGCCTTTGGAGGAATCATAGACTGTAAATGAGCTCTTTTCGACCCCTTGAAGAGTCCGAGTGTATTCGTGCTCGTCATCGTATCCGTTTTAGGACACTGAGGCATGCTAGGGTTGCGATGATGCTTGATGTGAGTTTTCTTGACCATTGTCCTATGGACCAAAATAAAACAAACCGTTACCGACTCAGTGGTTAGAGCGCGAATCTACTGACCGGAAGGTCCGTAGTTTGAACCAGACCTCTGCCGCTCGACTTCTCCGGGTCTTGGCTTGGACAAGTTGTCAGTATCCCAGCCCTCGTGCTTCCTTCGGGTGGCGTGACAGCCAGGCACCGAAAAGGTGTTACAGCTGAATGACACCAAAGCCATATGCTAAAAACGATTACTTTTTTCTATTACCACTGACCACAGAATCACATGCGGTTTGTCCGCAGTTCAACTCGACAATGGAAAGTTGTAGCATGGAGTGCTCTGGAGTGCGAGGCCTAAGATGGTGGCTGGAAGTGACTTTCTGTGGCCTTGCATGGTAAAGACAAATCTGATGATTGGGTACTCATAAGTAACCATATGTGGCCTCCTTGCATATGCACTATGATTGATGTGGGCCACCGTACGCATACACTGGGTTTCAACAGTTTAGCTGTTGTCACGTGATTCGACAATTACAGGTTGGCCAACTGTTGATTTTAGAAACGCCCCTGCCTCCCATTCTCCCATCGGGTCGTGCTCCGTTAGATTTACACCGAGTACAGAATGTTCAGTTAGTTACGTACATGGCTCGACCGAAAGCGCCTGCAATATAGCCAGTTCTGCATGGGAGTATTTCTACTCAACCGGGAAACCCATAGCAGTTCACTCATTGTGAAATGTCTTCAAATAGTACAGGTCAGAACCTTTGGTTCGGTGATATACAAAATTACCTTTCATTCAGCTGTTTCTCCATAGTGCACAGTTTGACTGTGCCTTACGAAAAATGTCACCAGGTCACTAGTGTCACGTGTATCTGGTGTTCTGTGTGTGATACTAATCTCATTCATTCTCAGGTATGCGTAAACTTTGTGGCCGCTCTGATTGCACTTTTAAATTTCCCATGCGTGATTCCTTTTGTGTTATGGTCCAGTAATTTCGTCTTCACGCCATGTGGGTTCGTGTATACTTTCACACCGTTCTAAACACACCCAACTTGTACGGCGTTGGTCGTAAAAGTACACGTGGAGTTTAAGTACACCAGTAGGCATGCATGAATTCACACACCATGTAGAGGAGTTATACTAACTTTGGTATTGAATTTGAGTACGATACTTCGCCGGTGTCACGTTGCACCGAATTGCGACAAAGCTATTTTCATTCCTTGCGTATCGAACACAACTCTTGTAGATCTGATTAATTCTGGGTTGTGGAACAGTGAGCGTATCTCGTTGTCACATTTGGCTGCCACAAATTCCCAAGATGCATAAACTCAGTGGCAATTCAAAAAGAGACGAAACCGCCTAATGAGTATCCTGCGGACCGGATTTGACTGTTCCTGAGCGTGGAGAAGCATCCGTTTGTCTAGAATCTGTCTACTCCCGTATAGATTTGTGCATTTCTTCCCAGACCCTGGGAGTAGCTCGGTTCGTGGGTTGGATTTTGACTCGTTTAGGCAACTCAGCACAACCACATTGCTGAGAGTCATGGTGTCTCGTTTGTCTGTTGAGCTGGGCAATTTTAGCGCCATCGCTTCTCTATCGATCATTCGAGTGCAATGAGCAACACTAGGCTAAAAGGTAAACGTGTTGATCTACATACAGGACCACTGCTCAGCTTGGAGTAGATGACCAATTTCACACGCATGCCATCCGGAAATCGGTGTAGACGCACGGGTTTTTTTCGAGTCAAGCACACTTCCGTTTTTCGTTTTGTGGGTCGCTTCATCGATTTGTCAAACTGTCAACGTCATATTCGTGAAGTACCAGCAAAATGTGAAGCCCTGGTAATCAGCGGTCACTTGACTTGACCTTATACGAGTATCTGCTTCTGTTTACTGCAGGGGTACTGTGTTACGCTTGTGGTGTTTGCTCAGTTATCTTTTGGACTAAAAACACCAACTCATTTATTTTCATCAAACACAGTGATCACAGCGTTTTATCGCCTGTCTATAAGCGCAACGACGGCATTTTGTCCCTTTTGTTTTCCACTGACGGCAGTTGGAAGAAAGCGCCAGTTACTCAAGGTTATCTGACCGTGCGCTTCTCAAGGACTGCTTTTTGTAGGTGTATTAATGAGCCCACTGAACGCGAATGAGCACACAACCTAAGACTGTTTTATGCGAGAGCAACTATTGGATGTACTTCATTTTTTGTCCATTTGCTTCTAACTATTGCCCATGTTAATACATGATGCCATAAGTTGTAAGAAACATTGACCGATGGTGTCAGCAGGGAAACTGATTCGGCTGTTCGACTAAAACAAACATGCACTGAAGCTCAACAGATGAGTAAAACCAGGAACAAGCGAACGAATGGGTTCACATCATAATCTCATCTGTGAATCGGAACCCATCGCCCAACCTGCTGAAAGGGCACAGTGCGCGTTGCGGCAGTGGTTATCGCGTGTTTTGTTGTTTGTTTTCACGATTTGACTAATCCCAGTAGGCTGCTTTTTCAGTGGTCCGTATTTTCGTTCGATTAGGATGAATCCAGCTTTGTCATCTATCATAAATAACTACATGATTGTCATCTCAAGCATGGTCATTAGCTAATAAGAATACTCTAGCTTACTTCAAATCGCCATTAATGTAGCAATCTATCGTCTATATAGTCCTAGCAACGTTCCCCACTAGCCACGACTCACTGTGCGCTCTCTGTGTATTCTGTCTTTGGGAATTACATCTGAAACAAGCCAGGGGCCGGACAGAAGGGCCAGACATTCATACCTTCCCGTTTCGGCAGTGAAGCATCGGTGTTGAACACTGATGTCATGCGGTTGGTGTCATTGTCAGCTGTAATAACCGCGTACTTGTCGTACAGTGGTTGCAGCTGCCACAGTTTCGTTCACCGATGATGTCGGGAGGTGTGGTAGGTAGCTGCGCAGTGGAGGCGGGAGCTGATAAATTAGTGCGTGGATACATCACTTTAGGTGGACCGTTAATTGGGGAGAATGCATTGAAGGCATGAGCTTGGATGCATGAGCGTCATTGAGGGCGCGACTGGGCCATGTCTGACAATGTCTCTAGCCATTTATATGGCCCGTCTCGGGGTCACCATCCAGGAAGACGGCAATGGCCAGCCGATGATGATGATGATGATGATACCTTCCTGTCAAAGGGTGTACATCTGGATCTTAGGTCAAGTCACGTCAAGCAAAGCTTTACGCACCCTAGTGCAAATTTTCAGCATACAAATTCACAACGACATCACATGTAAAGTTGATAAGCTGACTCAATTTAAGTTCTAACACTCACCAACGAACGCTTTAAGCAGACGGACGAGAAATGCGTTTATTTTGCGGGATGAGGGGAATAACTAGAGAACACACCAATTAGAGTATTGATAAGTGGGACTTCTGACTACTTCCAGTTTGTATTTTGAGCAAGCTTACAGGGTGAGCGCTGTTTCGTGAATGCCTGGTGAAAAGAATCATTTGGGTAAAGTTGAATGCGTGCGTACCACGAAGCCAAGTAGTATACTTTCGGAGATCCCAGTACACATAGGAAACCGTTTTGGTGACATAACACTAAGACAATGGTCTTTCGGAAGGTGTCTTGTCTTCGTGAGATACGTACTGCTGCTGACTGCGAATGAGGTTGAACTAGAAACCCTCAGGTGATCGATTATCCGTCAAATTTGGTCTTCTCAGTAATATGTAAACTGCTTACTTACCGAAAACCCAAATCTTGTTTCCCTTACAGAGTGGCTGATTTGAAACGAGAACTTTCTCAGGTACCGCTTCTTCCCCAGCTTATTTACGTGCTGACGGACAGTTGGACCCAGGGTCAAAGAGTAAGTCCCAAACCTTGCTGATTGGAATATCCTCACTCGCTGGATCATACGTTCGTTTAGAACGGTACGGTTATCTGCTGTAAAAATGGATTTCGACGTCTGTGAAGTCAGCCTCTATTTTTCCGCGCTAACTTCGCACTTGTACTGATGCTTAGTTTATGTTAATTAACTGCCGGTGCGTTCTACTAATATCTTGCTGCCTACGTTGATTATAAAGCTGTTGTTCTCGTTTCGTTATAGACCACTGGTACAGCTTCCCGAACTCCGTCTAACCTGTATGATTGGGTTTGTTTGCAAATCACTCTATCTGCGAGAACCAGTCGTATTCCACAGACCCTCCATTCTAATGCGTTGCAAGTGACAATGGGCTCTTCACCCCTCTCAACCGTAAGTCGACCGCGGGTAATTCCGGGGGGTCGTCCAAGGAGAACGAGTGCAGGAAATCTTGAGCACAGTTCTCTGGCCGGCCTCATCCCTGGGTCACCAAAGAATGATCCAAATGCGCTCCACCAAATGCGCGGTTCTCAGCCGAGTCTGGGCAATTTGTTCGCACCGTGTTCACCGTCACCATCTTTGCAACAGCTGTCTGTCAACCAGGATCCACAATCCGACTCCATAGATGAACACGATTTCCTTCTGGTCATTGAAAGTGCAAAGCACGATCTCAACATCCTGCTCAATGGTGACGAGAGTTCATCTTACGCAGCCTATAGAGCTTCCGGTGATATGCCTTATACTCGTTAGTAAGTCCTTCCTTTACGGTTGTATGTATTGGGTCTCCTTCATGTTTTCTCTGGAGTTTATTATTGTAGGAAACCACACTTTGTGCAAGCTTTGGTTGAGTTTTAGGTGTTTGATCTAGTTTCTGACCACCATGATGTTAGTGATGCTAACTGACTGCCCGACCTGTAAGCGCCCTGCGCAATGTATGCTGATGTTCTAGTGAAGTGTGGCGCTAAGTTTCTGCGATCCGAAACACTGTTGCCCTTCGGAAGCCCAAGGTGATTCAGTTATTAGGGAGTGAACTTACTGACCGCAAGGCCCGTGGTTCGAACCGGACCTCTGTATCTCGAATGCTCCTGTCAGCTAGGCACCGACAGGTCGCCACAGATTAACCCTTATCATGTTTATTATTTAACCTTTGGAATGGGAGCAAACTGAATTGAGCTAATGTAATGAAAGTGTTCTACTTCCGTGCTGATGACTTCGAGCCTGAACAGACGGAACACTGCTCTGGTTTCAGTGTGTGCTAGTGGTATGTGAACTGTTAAACGATTTTTCAGACGTTTTTAGAGTGACCAACAGCCAAATGTGTAAAATACAGATGGTTTCTTAATCTTTTCGATAATTTTTTGTCATTTTGCAACATACGCTTCACTGAAGTTTTCGATTTGAAGCTAAAATTTGGGTTGCATATGCATTTTACTGTCTCCCGTCACCTGTGAAATTCTAGCGAAGAGCAATATAGTCACAAGCTGTATAAACAAGTGGCACAAAATTACCGCGAGTGTATGGTTGCGCCAGGGTTGGTTGAGAATCCTCACTCATGTACCTCCATTTTTTGTTCTCATTGTAGCCTTACCACTCGTTACTCAGAACTCCTGTCTCTAGTCCCTTCGTGCACTGCCGTATCTCCTACCGGCGTTGATTCTCATACCAGTGGCAACAGCAACGAAAAAGACGCTCGATCTAGCCCACCAGAATCCAGTCCGGTGGCTCGTGTCGAATTTCTGGACCCCGAAACAGTGGCTTTGACTCGCGAATCACTTAGTGGGACAGACTTCAGCCTCCTACTGGCGCGTTTGGAACCGGTGACTGAAGTAGCCATTCAACTGTTCGATCGAATCCAAACGGTTCAGCGCAGCACAACTGCTTTCTACCAGCGAGCAATGAAAACGAGAGATGTAAGCAAGACAGAACGAGACAGTGATGTTCGTTAAACCGACTTTTGAAGCAAATTATGCATCCACGACCGGTCACACACCTCCTGTCCTATTTGAGTGGTGAATTATACATAAACACCGCCGCACTAGCATTCGAGCTTGCTGTTACCCCAAAACGAGACACGCACCTAAAATAGAGTTTTGGGAGTATGGTTGTCTAATAGCGTTACCCTGTTTTTTCCTACCTCACGCGAAACATTTCCACAGCTTTTGCTTCCGTTTCATAACTGTTTTTGGACGTTAGATCGACATAGCACTGGCTTTTTACGCTCGTTTTTACAAGTAATTGCACTCATATTAACCTGGCTATAAACCCCTAAATGATTCGTTTTTTCGGTACACTCAACAATACAGAGAAACTACTGAACCAGTGTCAACTCAGGTACAAAACAAATCAACGTGATACCGCCCATCATTCTATCAGAAGTGTTTTTCCACAATTCCTACATTCCTATTGCACATGGATAGGGGAAAAACTTCATTTGACTGTCAGTTTGTCGCAACTAAACTCGGCAAGTTTTGCCGATTCGCTAATCCCCTCAACTGGATAAATTCATTTATTTATTGTATCCTGCCTACAACGACCGCCCACACAACCGGTCATCAAAGATGGCGGATGGATAGAGGATGTTTTACCCCAGCGCTACTACGTTTATGCAATTCGATCCTGATGAAATGGTATCGTACGTTTTTGAAGACAGTACATCTAGTGCCACTGTGCTTCAGCTTTTCTTATCGATCGGTCCCACTTGGAAAGCATGATTACTTTTGAGGGGTTCCACCTTGATGTACAGCCAACCTGACCAACTGTAAGTGGAGCATAGTCACTTCTCCGTCTCGTTCTCTTCTAACTCACAGGTAGATGAACCTATATGTCGTACTCAATCTCTTTTCGTCGGCTCATGAAGCTAGGTCCTCCTGAGTACTGAGTGACTGCCCTTGTTAAACTTTTCATTTTGAACTTTGTGCTTCTTAGTTTCTCACTGTCCATTCTAAACAATTTGATCGCAATACTTTGTTTAATCCGCATCTTATGATTCACCTTCACATGAATTTGGCGTTCCAGAGCCCACCTACGCTTTTTCGCTTCTCTACAAATTTCTGTGTGAAAAAATCTCATGGTCTTATGTGCATTGCTTCCGGTGCACCTCACTCGTTGAATCATTCGTTTTGGCTTCTGGAACACTGTAAGGTCTTAGCAAATAGATAGCTGACTAGTATCGTCTTCATGTAAATTTGCGTGATCTAACGCTAAAGCTTGATGGTTGATGGTTCTTCCATCGTCTTTTCAAGAGTATCCAGAAGTGCATTGCTAAAATCCGAGGGCATGAACTACGCACCTACCGTCCCGTATGTGACGTGCTTGTTGTAGCCAACCAGATTTATGTCCATCCTACCGATCTGTTGTAATCGTGTTCCTCATCTACACTTTTCCACTCCACTTACGTCTGTTTAGTTTGTCGGATAGGCATCACGCGCTAGTCCCACTTTTGTTGTGTGTGGGATTCATATGAAGTTGTACTAAATCGTATTCCTTATCCCCGAATTTCGTATTCCAAATGAAGAACCAAGTTGTTTCAATACACCCGAGGCGTTTCAAAAGACTTGCTAACTCGCCCATGTTGACTGTTATCATCCCTTTCCGAACGTGGATTTCAAAAAGACACAGCATAAATGATTTCCTTTCCTTTCCCATGCGTTCCGGGACGTCTGGCCTGGAGAGGTTACTGTCTGCACTTTTCAGAGAATAGGTCGAACCTATGGTTATCAATCTGACATTCCTATTGCAGCCGGTTGAATCGGCAAAATAAGATGCTTCAACATGGTTTCTAACTTTAAAGCGGTGCAAGGTCGCTGTGCGAAGACCTCCGTAACATCAAGCCGGTATTCGCAACGCTCGATATGCTCTTCTGCACTGTTTAACACGTATGGATCCCTGAGGGAGACAAGTTCACGAAGACCGGCCTGAGTTTCCTCCTGGCCGAGGATACATCCGTCATATGTTCACCTTGAGACAAGGTGTCTGACAACACTGGACCCAGTCGTTTTCCGTCTTAAAAATCTATGCTCCAGAAGCATTATCTGGCAAACAGGGTGTCCCCGTTTAACTCCGGTTTTTTAAGGCACTCTAGCCTCCCTGGAGTTTGATCCAGGGCCTCCATTGTCTCCAATGCATGACGACGATGAGCAAAACTGTGACAGTTTGGACCAGTCTACCCTTGGTTAGCAGCCGAATAAGTGAACTTGATTCAACTGCGCGTTTCAGTGTCGGATGGATGGGGTTTCGTGAGCTGCATATCATTGATTAGTGGACCCTTAGCTAGTTATTCTCCATCACTGTCCCAATTACACTTATCGAGCTCTCATCGGTTCCGTGGTGTTCCTACCTCTGATCTTCGTGATCATCTGTTCGTGTTGTATGTGACTACTTTTATAGAACGGGCTCTCAGTCATTCTTTTTGCTATTTGTAGACACTAGCTATTCGAGAGGGTTGGTTAAATGGAAGAGGAAGATCAAGGCCACACCCGAAATAACTAATATAGCATCCCCTGTTGCTTTGGAAGTCGTAAGCCACATTGGGACCGCTCTGTTCCAGAATGTTGATTGATACTTTTACCGGTGAACAATATTCATATGGTTGGTAAAATACTCTACAACAATTTTCACTCCAACCCCCTTTTTCTTTACGTAATCCTGTTCAATCAGATGTCGGCCATCACCGAACAGTTTCCAACTCACACATCCCAGTTACAAGAGTTGCTCAACGCGTTTCGACAGCTGTGTCGCATTCTGGCCGAGACAATGGAAAGCAAGCTTGATTTGGCGGAGAATTTGCACAAGAGACAGTGGTATGTTTTTTTGTTTTCTGTTTGTGTTCCCCACTGGTTCGAACTTACGAATGAGTTATGGATTTCTCCACTCTTATTCTGTATGCTGATGTGACATCGTACTAGGTTTGTCTTACTTTGTCAGTTCATTTGTTCTGGAAGCTCTTGTGCTGGGAATACGATGTCCTTCCTACCTCTCACCCTCACCAAATCTGAGTATTTCCCTCCAGAGTTCCTTCACAGTTTTATCATAGTAGGTCTGTTGCGCCACAGGCTGCTCGTGATATGCAAGTGTTTTGGCGAAAGTTCGCTTGTTTGTTGCATCGCTGAAGGGGAAAGTACATCTGAAGTTTTTTCAGAATTTTGCCTCATCAACACAGTATTCAGGCGTTCGTTGTTTGATGAACTTTATCCTGTTTATTTCAGAAGGGCTTGGTAAACAATCGTTAGTCCTTTAAGTGGACAACGTTTCGCTTTTGGCACAAAAGCGTCATCAGGCCAGATGAGCAGGTCACCAATTTGGCTAGCTATTAAGGCAGACGGAGAACTAATCAGTAAAATCTGTTCAGATTAGCACACTAGATCACTGTTGAGTGTCAATTAACGGCTCTTGACGGCTCGTATGGTTGCCAAAATTTTGCGTTGGTGGGTTGGAGGAGTTTCAAGTTAGTTCCGACCGGCTCTTGTTCTTTAATCTCCCACTTCAACGTGCTTCAATTGATGATTCACCTCGGGTGCCGCTGGTAGATTTTCCTTGTTCTTCGTCGGCTTGTGATAAAAGATAAAGCGTTCAGCTGTAGCACCCTTCCGGTGCCTAGCTGCCATGCCACCCGAAGGGAGCACGAGGGCTGGGATACTGCCAGGTTGCCCAAGCCTAGACAGGGGAAGTCGAGTGGCGGAGGTCGGATTCGAACCGCGGACCTTCAGGTTAGTAATCCGCGCTCTAACCACTTCGGCCATCTCACCCGTCGGCTTGTGAATGTTGCGACGATTTAGTTGGGGAAGGGGAGGTGCGTAAGGTTAAGTGGAATCTAGATGATGACTACTCTCCCTTCTGATAATCGCACACCAACACTTGGTAGCTCGATTGACCCAAAACCGTTCTCCACACGCGTGCCAGTTCCACGCCCTCTACTGGGATGCTTGGCGATTTCTATCGCCTCGGGTATCAGTCTCTGTGACGTGGACCGTAGTCCTCGTCTCAAAAACTCAACACTTTCTAGATTTTGTGTCTCATTTCCAGTGCGGGTTCCGCAATTGCCGAGTCTTCCAGCCACGCCCTAAATTCATCCGCGTTTCTCGGCAGCTGTTTATTTTTCTCCTATGTTCTGCGATTCTCATGTGAGGCTCCCTGGTCGTCTGTCCGATATAGACCTTAGCGCCAGGCCCTTATGAAACGATGTCTTCTCAATCGGTTCCAAACTTTTTCCCATTGATTTATCCTGTTCCCTTCACTTGTCAACCACTCATTCACCATCGGACTAGACACTCGCTGGACTGTCACTCCGTTCTTTTTCCCTGTTCAGAAGCATTCTTGTTTGTTGCTTACTCGAATAGCAGTGTCTGGGCTCATAATTTACTTGGTTCGTGCTACTTTTGTGTTGATTTTATTTGGTAATTTTCTTGTTGGCAGCTGGCTTCAAAACTTCCAATCCTACATGCACCGAGTGGATGCAAGCATACAAAAGTGTCTGTCTCGTATGGGACGTGTCGCCCGGACTACCACTTTGATATCCCAGCTGCAGAAGGCTCCTGAAGTTTACACAAGGTAGGTCGTCAGTCACCAAACCCATCGATGAGTCTAGTCACACTCTCAGATGCTTCATTCTCGTCCTTGCCTACAGCCTTCCATGAGGTTGCTGCTTTTAGAGGGCACTACATGGCTTGTGTGTTTCCATGACATCACTTTTATTTCCATTCTGGTTATCCGAACGACAACAGGCTTAGTGCTTGGTGTTGAGAAGTACCGTTTGACAACGTTGCATGTTTGTCTGACCCATCCAAATAGAACATTCCTCCTAAATTCCCTGCCCGTTCGGCCGCCAGCCTTGGCAAGCATTTTGGATGGAACTCAGTTGGGGTCCGATTAATTGAGCTCAGTTCAAGGTGATTTTCCGGATGACGGAGTAAACAAGTTTCTGGGTTACCATTTCAATAACCCGGGTCCCTTCAAATTGGCTACTGGTCTCCGTTCTGATTATCTGTAAACAAATTGTTCCCAAGAATGAGAAGAAACATTGGAGTATACATTGAATGGACAACCACCGTCTAGATACGCCGCAATCAGATAGATGTCCCCTCAGAGCAAAGCTACTTCCCCGCAGCTTTGTGAGCGTCTATTGATTACACCTGAACTGAGCCTGTCAGACTAAGCGGTAAGGAGAAGAAAAAGAATCCGGGACACGGCTGTATTGTCAGGTCAGTCAAACATACAGAGCTTCTGCGTAAGTATATAGGATACCTAAATGACCACTTATGGTCGCTTGCTTGTTCGTTCTGTCCACCACTGGCGACGTTTCTGCCGTGAACAATTTCATACCCACTCTGCCGGTCGTATGCGGCTATCCGGAGCATGTGGTGACTGATGGTGATATAGGGAACGCACCGTTCTGTGTACGTGTACTTCCTCCATGTCTGCACCCGTCCCGACACTTGTGCTGCCTAATAGTGAGGGTCCTATACACCAGAGTTTCCAGTACCGATCGAAGCTTCTGGTTCACTAGTCTCTACTCATTGCTCACTGAGCCGCAGAGGCATCCCATCATCGTCTGCTTTTATTATGATCTGTTTCTGACGTACTATGTCCAATTTTTTTTACCAGTCAACACCATTCTTGTAATCACTCTATCTCCTTGCCTTGCACTGAAACTCAGTACCTTCGAGTCTTGTGTTCGTTTCTCCGATCTATTAGCCCGCTCCATTCCATTATCAGCTTGCGCCAAAAAGAAGTCAGTCTTACTAGAAACATTGCTGTCGAGATGTCTACACGTTTCAGCAGGAACTCTTGATGCTGGAATCTGCAAGTCCAATTCTCGATAACGGAAACAAAACCGTTTTTGGTCAAATGATTCCACATTTTTACGACGAATTGAGCATGGTTTCGTCCCAGAGCGGATCGCCCTCGATCGACCAGTCCTTCGGTCCTTCTGTAGCATTCATCCTAACCATTGCACGCCATAGCGATGGAGCACTTCGATCAGTTTTCATTCCTGAGACGTTAGCCAGTTATATCCTTTAACAATGAACACGTGGACATGATAACCGTTCAGGCGAGAGTGACATGGACGCAGTTGCTACATTTACAAACAACGAACCAGACATAACTCAGTTAGAGGACCAATTTACACCTGAGGGTGTCCAAAAATGCCACTAATACATTGATTGGATAGATTTTACTAGTCAGACACAGGGGGATAGATGATGACGCTTGCAAACGGTTAACAATTTTATGGATGAGAACTTGACTGAGTATGATCCTAGAATTGATAGTCACGCTGTTTCCAACTAACGACATCACCCTGGCAACCGTATGCAGGTTTGTGAGAGATAATAAAAAATAATCACTCAGCTGTAACACCCTTTCGGTGCCTGGGTAGGCACCACCGTGCCACCCAAAGGCAGCACGAGGGCTGAAATACTGTCAGTTTGCCCAAGCCTAGACAGGAGAAGTCGAGAGGCAGAGGTCGGGTTCGAACTACGGACCTTCCGGTCAGTGAATTCGCCCTCTAACTACTTGAGCCATCTCGTCCCCTGAGTCACTTCGCCCAGATTTGTAAACAAGGCGTTAAATCCCACTCTATCTCGAAATGATGGCTGGTGGTCATATTGCTACTATGATGCTTGTGGGATGTTTTCTTCGAGAAATCGATTTCAGCGACGAATGACGTTTCACAGCCAAGCTAAAATTTATTCTGCCTTTATCAACTGTCCAGTTTAAACTTTCACTATACAGAGATGGATTGTGAAGTAAAGGGAACCAGTAATCAGGGTTCCTGTGTTAAAAACGGCAAATTGCATGAAAACCGCACATTAGAAAGCGTTGAGTAAATTGTGATGGTTGACAGTAACTGTGCGTTTGAAAAGCCTAGTGTTTTAGACATTCGGGGATGCAGATAATGACTGGTCCTCATGACAGCTCTATATGCATTATCGTTCGTTGTCTACCAGACCCACTCCCATGATCGACCACGTTCACACCATTCACATGTGTTGCTCTCCACCTATTCACACCGTTGACGTGACCTTTGACCTCTCAAAGTGAAGATGCATGATTTGTGGATGGGAGTCGATTGTTGCGGATGGTTGGACTGATAAAACAAGTCAAGAGAAGCAGAAGCATGTTTAGCGAATATACACTCATTTGCAAACCAATTTGGTTCTTTCGAGAGACTCACCTGGAACCCAGCTGAATCTCTCGTGTATGATGTTCTCAGAAGCGTGTTTCTTGGTTATTGATCTGTTCGTCGGGCTTGGCAATTCGCTTGCAAAGATTCGTCACCATACGAGGAGACATCATCAGTGCGTAGCCACCTGATCAACAACCAATGAACTCACCCAAGCTATCAAAATTTCAACACATTACCAAGCGTGTTTCTCAGTGAGTCCCGATCATAGACAGCATCACGACGCCCATCAAGGACTCGTATTTGAAAGAAAACAAGATCCAATAATGCAGGTCACGGCGTGCAACATCTGTGTGTGAGGAATAAGTTGGCCGCCTCGAGTCATAGGTTTCTTAATGAGGTCCGGTTGATAACTTGATCGTAATCGGTGTTGAGGAAGGAGAATTAAACCCGCGCTGTTTTCAATCAGTGACGATAAACAGGTCAAAGGTATTCATCATGACAAACTTACGGCGGAAACCTAAAAGCCTATTGTTAATTTTTTAGGGACGGAGACACGCGAAGGTCTAGGTGCACACTTCAAAGTAGACAGTGGGGCCATACATAGTTCGGTTGGATGAGTATGACCACGAGACTCCGGTATTAGGTCGTTTGCAAGGAGCGTGTTTTTCGTCCGTATATTTCTAACAAACACGAAGGACACGAGCACTCAGGCAGCTGATAGTCCAACCAGTAATAACTATTTGTATGTGAACATCATACTTACTATACAGTACTACTTCGTAGCCATACGAACTAATTTGATGAGTTGAGGTGTCCTAATTCACAATGAGTTTTCGGCCGCAGCTTACATCTCGTCATACTAATATGTCGGTTATTGAATCATCTCCAAGAGCGTTTCGAGTGAATTGTCCGCGTTACATTCCCTAGCCTCCCATTGTCTCATTGTTACGGTGTATGTTTACACAGAAAAATGTCTTCTATACAATAGGCGATGTGGGTTGACGTTGTATTACTGTGGGCAAATTTGATGTGTAATTCAACAATGCCATAAACCATTAGATAGACGGACCGGATAAACTTTTCCGTAGTGTAGAGCATCGTAATTCGCGAGCCGATCTACTGAGTTGTATCTGATTGATCCGCTTGTGACCGAAAAATACATTTGGAATAATGACGGCTGCCACCATTACTACGTCACACGGTCACGTGGTTGATCACTTTCACACATGCGCGTGCATCAGCTGTACTGTCAAGATCAACAACGCACGTTGTGCACGCGGCCTTTTGGTCGGTCAAATGATGTGCAGTCGGACGTACTGCATTAAGTCACATGGTTTTTTTCCACGAGTGACGAATAGGCGCTCGAATTTTCGCTACCAATTTGGCATCTTGCGTAACAATAAGTTGACCGTTGACGTAGGCTTTGACGAGCCAGATACCTATGTTATCTTGTAAGTTTTTCCCCCGCTGACTTTTGGTTCAATAAGCAATAGAATTTCACTTCAGCTGTGCAAGACAGTGTATGGTGGGAGAAAGAGAGAGATGAACATTTACCAAAGAAACGACTTTTTTTTTAATGACTACCATAGGAGGATTCTCTCACTGATTTGGTAAAGCAACAGCTCTTGCTTTCGGTTCATGTGGTAGTTCTCTGAACAGGATGCCCTTCATTTCTGAATGGGAACGTGATTATATCCCCTCGGACCTTCTTTGTTGGCCCAGTTAACGTGGTTAGTTTACACCAACGACCGAAAAGCTTTGAGCAGCTCTCTGAAATTTCCAACCTGCGCCAGACTGTGGTACCAGTGTTTAGGCAATGACTCTCCCGGCTGTAGCTCACATAATCCATTTGTTTAGATGTCTGGTATGCTCGGTTTTGTGTTTAAAGTTCGCTGTTGTCTGCATTCAAGTTGTTTTTGTGCGGAAGCTGTCTAGCCAGTACTGTTTCCCTCCACTTGTTATTGCGACAAGTCTGTTCGCATGATGAGCTTGCCAAAAGCACGCGTTGTTGGTTGATCCCATCCACTGCTTTCCTCGAACAGTCCATGCATGGGTCCTTCCTTCTAAATGAATCACGCTCACGCAACTTGGTTTTAACAGTGTCCGATGCTTCGTTACTCAGTAGCTTTCAATGCGACATACGTCTGTTCATCTTGAGAAAATTGACAACACGTCTTAGCGGTGTGGACGGGGGAATCAGCACTTTGTTAGGAACAGATACAGTGTCTGTCTTCCATGCTAACTTGTATGTCCGTATGACTTTTTCAGACAATGTTCCACATGTGTTTAGTTAATCTGTATCACTTTTCAAATTTAGAGTAAGACCAGTGAGACCAAAATGCTCTTAAAAACAACTGCACACTCTGGCCGTTAACTGGTAAACTGATAACAACGGATTTGCCCTCTCACCTGAGTAGTACCACTCTGTATCTAATAATTCCAAAGAACTAGAGTAGGTTGCATGCGAAAGATCCCAAACTCGAATTTCGCTATTTTGCCGGTAACTGAATTCGAACTGGTGCACCACGAATAAAAGGCCCATTTTTTTCGGCGCACTTTTCAGCGCTTCGATGAATATTCTTGAGTGGCAACGAATTACAGATAAAATTGCGCGTGCTGATTACAGAAACGAGGTGAAATCGATAGTATATTCTAGCGGACTTCGTCTAGTAGAAACAAATTACGGAATATTTGTCTGTGTGGTCTGTGATTTGTCTTTGCATTGCATCTGTAAACTAGATACGATGTTCAGAATACGGGGGGGGGGTAGTCGAACAGGAAGCTATTGCCAGCATCTTAGTACGTGTAATCGTAGGTAATCTTGTTCGGGCTCGAACCCCCCCCCCCCAGTACGATTCAATTAGGAAAGCACGCTATTCAAATTCACAGTAGTACCGTAAACAGTTATCCGGAACACGTAGTTCAGTATATCAACCGTAGGATAAAGGAATAAGTTCGACGTTTCGGAAGACTGTCTCGTCAGAGCAGATATGTATTCTTAATCCCCAGGAACGTTCTTGGGGCATTTTTTCTCCAAGGCTTCCTTGGGAAAACCTGCTACCTCACAAAAATTCCCACAATGGTTGTGTTGAAAAAACTGCTCGATTACCACTCAGCCTTTTGACTCTACAGCATGGGCGTAGGGCATTTTGCTGTACGTGTTCGATGAACTGCTTTCAAATGCAGATATGGGTGTGCACTCCAGATCTCTCTTCCCCAGAGCGGATTCGAAGCCCAATAACAAGTTTCCTGCGTCCAGTCCCTTTCACAAATCTTGAAACGGCAACATTTCAGCGAAATAACGTCAATTTGTTTGTTTCATCTACTCTCCCTGGGCCAATTACAGGTTCAAGGATGGGCAGACCAGATATCTTAGGAGGCTCGGGACGCCCGATCACAAGTTAATGAGGCAAAACTGTGGAAGAACTCCACGTGAGACGTGTGGTCAACTCGCAGTGTGAAAATATGTCATGGAAATGACCGGTCTCATTGGGCTAGACCAGCTTCAAAGTCCAACTATTCACAGGGTTTTCAATGAATTCGCGTAACGACTGCCGTTTCATTAAATTGCAATGGGCAATGTCATTTTGTGAGGGGGTAGCTCTGCTCAGTCCAGTCGGTGATGTACAGTCGAGGTTGTCGAAACGTTAGCCCCAAGCAACGCAAATTTTTTGGAACTCGTCCAACATTCGCCCAGTTTATCCTGCATAGTTGTTACTGCAACTACACTGGATCGAGTCCTTGTTTTCGAGTTACGGCACAGTAACTCTCGTAGTTCATTTGCTGATCGTACCGCATTTGTTTATAGGAGTCTGTGTCGGCGTATCATATTTCCGGTGTTCTAGATGCACATAAAAAAGGCGAGACGATGCGCTTCGTCCAGAGAATCAGGATACGACGAAATTCATCCGAAAAATCACTGAATGTCATTAAATATATTCACCATGTGTTGCTGGATAACGGGTATCCACCATAGTTCAGTAGTAAACACAGCGGATATGTCGGAGGAGCGGGGGGATCTCTTTCTTTCCACGAAGAACGCATTTATCAATAGCAACGAGAATGACACGTTCCCAGTGTCGTATGAAGCGGGGATTAACAGAGAATTTGTACCACACTTCTTGGTTAAGAAATTTACCGATACCTCTTCCAATGTACTTGTGCTAGCAAGCACGTAGGACGAAATGCCCGAAAACTAGTCATAAATGCCCAAGAGGTTAGAATCGCCGACAACTTCGACTGTCCATGAACGACTGGTCTGTGATCCTGACGATGATGCATCGGTGTTGAACACTGATGTTATACTATCAATGATGATGATAGACTACCATCGGCCCACAGCACCTAGACAGTCTTTAACCATCATGAACTGATGGTATAATGGCTACGATAGAAGAATCCAGCCATGTCTGTGTAAACGTTATGGTCAGTCTTGCCTTACTCTGATGAGGCCGGCTATTTTCACAACACACTTCCCCTCGCTCTCACTCCGCATGTCTCTCACATGAACCTTGTCCGTTGTTCTTGTTCTCTCTCTGATGTGTTTTGTCACGGTTATGTGCTCAGACTTTATGGACGGATTATGTTCCACCGGAATGATACATGTGTCTTCCAATTAGCGACGCACAATCAATCGACCGATTTGAAATGGCAACATTTTCGCCAGCTCCACAGGTTTCAGGATTCGACAGCTTGAAAGAAAGAAAGCGTTCAGCTGTAGCACCCTTCCGGTGCCTAGCTGCCATGACACCTGAAGGAAGCACGAGGGCTGGGATACTACCAAGTTGCCCAAGACTAGACAGGGGAAGTAGAGTGGCGGAGGTTGGATTCGAACCACTGACCTTCCGGTCAGTAAATTCGACAGCTTAGTGCCTGCATCGCTCGCCTTCTTACTTTATTGACGATAGCTACTTTTTCAAACACCCGTTCATCCACGGCTTTGTTCATCGAGAGACAAGTGGCTCAGGTGCGAAGCCCGCCGAATCTCATCACACGAGTCTTTACAAAGAATATCATATGTATTCGCCAGTACAGACGAATACACATCGCCAAAATTTATCAAGAAATACGGTTAAGACGTTGAAGGAAAGAAAACTCCTACTGTTCCAAACAAGATGGCTTGAATGCTAGAAGTTGCGTGAAGCGGAGTAGGAGCATGCTTAGCATGCACTTAACATGCTTCGTCAGACGTGTCAAAACCGAAGCCAGGTGAACCTGACTCCGATATTACCACCATCGCTCTTTTTCGCATAGTTGTGTTTTCTATGGGGGATGTCACGACTTATATGGGCGTCAATGCAATCAACCGAAACTGGCCTTATGGTGTTGACGCTGCTGATGCATATAAACACCCCCGTCTTCTTCGTGGTGGTCTCTCTTGAAAGGGTACATGGTATGACAACCCCCTACTCTGTGTGTTTGTATCAGCTATCGGAACAACTTTTTGTCGTTCTCTGTGGCGATTAGGTTGTTAAAGCTCTACCTCTAAAACTGATCCACTTGGACCCGGTACTCCAGTCGAAAACTCGATTGAGGTGAATTTCAGTTTCTCAATCTGAACTTCGGTCAAGAAACTTGTGCTCACTTTTGCTACAGCCGTTTGTCGACCCCGTGCACACCAAGTGTCTTTCAGGAACAAAATTGTTGTATCAAACAAACAACCCAGTACTGACTCGAAAGCGTAACATGTGTAACATCGACAAACAACTTAGCGGCCTTCATTGTCATTGACGATTGTTTACACGGATTTGCGTTCGTGACCCCCGCGCAACTGACCACATTCGATTCGGCGCTTGCCGTCAACCAGCGAATCCGTGTAACTAGGTCACTATGTGATTGATTCTCGCTCTTCGACTCGCACCTCCACATCATCTGTTACTTCTTATCATTTCCGTTTGTTCTGCGCATCGTACTTTTCGTATTTAGCCCACGCTGATGTTCCAAGCTTCAGTTTTGCCGACCATTATTTGCCAACTAAACCGCGTCTTTTGCAGATGTCTTGTTGAGGTGGTCCGTCAACACGAGTTCGAAACCAATTATGCCCAAATCATCCGGGAACAACGTATCAGTCGGTCTGAGGAAGTGACGAGGAGAACAAAATTTGCCAAACTACTGAGTACGTTTATCTCATTGTCAAGCATGCTAGTTTCCTGATGCCAATTCTATACGTTGTTCGTATCAGTGCGAAGAGTGAGGTAATGTTGGACAGCCCATGCCTCTATTGAAGTGATCGAGAAGTTGATGATAGACCCAAGTTGAAGATCTTGATGGCTGTGACCTGCGACTGTGATCTCATCAACCTGAAAGTTTATGTGTCAAATCACTTTAATGCTCATAGCTTAAGTTGTACCACGAGGCGGGGTTTTGAAGCACTTATTCAGAGCAGTGTTATCGGTTGCCTTTCTATGTGCCCGTGGTTATCAGAGGATACTTTTCAACCTATTGAACATAGAAGTTCACGGTACACATCTGCTTGTATTGGAGGTCTTTCAGCTGTAACACCCTTCCGGTGCCTAGCTGCCATGCTAGCCGATGGAAGCAAGGGGGCTGGGATACTGCCAGGTTGCCCAAGCCTAGACAGGGGAAGTCGAGAGGCGGAGGTCGGGTTCGAACCACGAACCTTCTGGACAGTAAATTCACGCTCCAACCATGTGAGCCGTCTGTTTGTATTATGCAAACTGAAGTACGGTTCTAGTGGATCGGTCACTAGAACCCACAAGGACATTTCAGTCTCCAGCTTTAATGACAGTTTCTCGTCGTTCTAAAGGGCAGAGAGAGGGTGAAAGTCTGTTCTAGCAGAGGGCTGCATAAACTACATAATGGCCGTGCGGATGTTCCGTCTTTCCAGCCAATGTTTCTACTATGCTTGATATGCATCTATCATTTGGTCCAGTTTGGTTCGCAACCGTGATATGTGCTTGCACGAACATGCACGCGTCACCTGTGTGTCCTTGATGGCTGATGTAGCGTAGTGGAAATTTCTTACCTACACATCGTTTCAGAGCCGGGTTTTTATGGCCGGACGGTGAACAAAGTGACGTCAGTACATGTTGAGAGAAGTTCACTGGTTGTTTTTTACTCTGGTGTTTACACAATCTGTAATTTTCCACATGCAATCTAAATGTAGTTGCTGGGTGCAACGAACGCAAAACGGTGAACTGATCAGATCATGCCGTAGTCATGTTTCTTTCACGGGAATGCATTCAAAGAATATTCGAAAATAGACAATAGTAAAGGTTAGAATGATCTTTCGAATGCATCTACAAGGTTCCCGCGAAACTGTCATCATCAGTGAAGTTATCGCTCTATGCCGTAGATGTTTTTATCTATATCTGGGGGATTTCGAGTAAAAATAGAGCACAGACTGCAGTGATATTGCTGTAAAACAACTGGAAAGTGTGTATGGGGTTTGTTTGATTTCCAATCAAAACTCTGTCCTGTCAGTGAGGCTAATCCTCCTTATTGTGAATCATCACCAGTGTGCATCTCAATAAGCTCAGAGTGTTGTTTCGAACCCACGACATCTCGGCCAGTGATTCGACACTTAACTGTTTGGCCTCGAGCGGCTGATCAGTAGGATGATTAGCTTTCACTCACAGAAACCGCATCATGTGGTCACCTACTAACTGGATCCTTCAGCGATAACTCCTCAGTTGCCTGGTTTGGTGCCACATTATTCCCAGTTTTCTTCATTTTCCTTCAACAAACTCGAAGCAACTCTCCCGCGATCGACGAACTTCTCATGCTTTTTAACCTACGCCCTTTAAGTCGTGTAATTCACGTGCCAGAGGATCACCTCCTTCGCACAATTCTTTTTGCCCGACCCCGTGCTGAGTAGAAGTGATCGAAAGGCAACGAATTATGATACCGGTTAGCTCAATAGGATCGACATTTTGCGTCTCTGTGAATGGGGACCCCGCGACTTAACTCATCAATGGTTAATGGAACTGGTAGACATGACTTAGTCACGCAAGCAGTGGCGGTCGTTCATCACAGCTGTCACCTTCAATAGCCCCCACTTTACTCGGACAAATAGGATATTCAACATCGAATGTACCCTCAATAACGAGCTTTATCTTCCCTGTTCTCCCATTTTTCCGTGACCAAAACTGGCAGCTGGAACCAGTGTCCATATTTTGTGTGGTTTATGATTGATAAACTGACCTGCTTGAACGGTGGTTCCGTAACTCAGTTTGGGAGCCTTGGTTAATCAGAGCTAGAATAGTAGATTACAAAGATATACATGTATCGCGATATCTCGAATATCGTAGTGACTGAAACATGAGGCGGCCTGATGCAGCACATTTTTGCAAATGAGTGTATATTCGCCAATTTCGTGCAATTTGGTTTCAAGTAGAACATAGGGTTGACGGAAACCCGGGGACTGCGTCTACCTGATGAGCCCCAAGAAGGGCGAAACCGGTCGTGGGCTGTAGATGGATTTCAACAACCTTATGAGTAGTACATTACAAAGATTTCTGTAGGTTTTTTTTGTCAGGATGCTTTTCTATCCGCCTACTGCTTCTCGAGTTCATTTATGACTGAATATGCCTTCTGCATTTCCGCTGTTGCCTTGCCATGGGAGATTCGATTAAATTATCTCAACACCACACGATTTCCACAGTCAGTCTGTTTCAGAATATGGCCACTAAACGGCGCTATGCCAAACCTAATCTGTATTTCACCAATGGTCTTGCTTGTTCAGTCTGAGAACGCGGCTATGCTCAAACTGCCTGGTTGGCTCAGCACTTCTGCATCCAAACCTATCTTCAGTTAAATATTGCTATCACAATAACGTCTGTCCTGATTCTCCCGATCGATGATCCCTCAGTCCACAGTTGAATACTGGCAGTGATTTTTCCATTGCCTTCCTATCCGCTTATGTATGGGTGTGTTTGTGTCTGTCCTTTTCAATGATTGTTTGACGGTTTCTAACTGCGTTGCTGGGGAAACCTAATGTTGCTCCTCATCTTAAAGTTGCCATCCATTCCATCCCACCCACGTATGCGCCATATCATTTTGCACATGACGAAGTTTTCACCAGTTTAGCTGGAAAAATACGCCTACGTCGCTCGAACGAGTCACGTGAGTCCGAAAAAGGGACTCGAGCCTTTGGCCATCTCTGGAATGTATCTAGTCTGTGCCCCATGAGTACATACATCCTTTCAGACTGACAGCCGAAATTATGGGATCGTTTTGAATTTGTCTGTAACTCGTCTGAATGCCATCCATTAACCTAATATAATCTTTGTCTTTTCATCCTCTAGCGGACAATATTTTACATTCGCTGTTCGCTCCTTGGACCTCTAGTCGTGGGGATCGATCTAATGTGAGTTTACTTTTCTCTCGCTCGGTGTTTGTATTTGTGTTTATCCCTGCGGATCATTCGTCAGGATCAGTCAGCTTTTTTCTCCAATAACTTGTCAACACTTACTTCTCACAATTTTCTGGCCCATACAGGTCATGTGTAGGATCAGAGTTACTGTAAGACAGATGTCGAGATAGGAAAAGGCTTATGTTAGTCATGGTAAAGTTACTGGAAGGTTGGTCTGTGTTCGGGATGACCTTACACAAGAAGTTTATGGGAGCGCATGTATCTAGAGGGACATCACGGACTGTGTTTTGACCCATAGACACTTGTTTTCAACTCATCAGCCTACTTTATCGGATCTATCCTACATTGTTTCAGCTGTCGAAAAATATTTACCACGGTAGTACACGCAACCTGAACACCCCAGACTCCACAGAGAACGACCCTACAACTGGTCGCCCTGACCTCCGCACACCTGGAAAATCCGCACATGATTCACAACAATGGACTCGTTCGCAGGCTCTCGGTTCACGATCGGAACCGCGACTCAATGAAATGATCGGTGCGTCTTCCCTGGTGCGCACTGGATCCCGAGGCAGACCGAAAGAGACGTTACGATCAATGGCCCGAAAACTGGTGGAAGTGGAAGAAGATGAAAATGAACATCGTTCTCCAGAATCTCGTATCTCCCTTGGGAAAACGCGTGTTTCAACTGATGCAATGGTCAAACCGCGTGAGCAGACCGGGATGCAGCGAAAAGGTGATAGTGGTTCTCGCCGTATCTCCATGCCGGCTGGTGAGCCTGAGCCAGCATCGCCTGTGTGGACATTGGGTGAGAATGAGGAGGAGGTACCCGTGTTCATGGACCAAGCGCAACAGTCATTTTGTGTCACGCGTGACGACTTGGAGCACCTTTCTGCAGTACTACCATCACACTTGGCGGAGATTTTACATCAGGAGCTGACGCGCGTCCTAATGCCAGTGAATCAAACTTTTCTCGGATGTCAGTCCTCATCCCACGAGTTGGCTATCCAACCTCCCGTTGTACGTCACGTTGGACTGAGTCCATTGGAACAGTCTGCTTCAATAGACGCCGTCACTACGGATTCGCACCACTCCGGTGATCAAGAGGGAGCGAATTGGGAAACAGTGGATGCTGCGTGTCAAACTGACTTTCCCTCCCCAGTTCGCAGATGGGATGTTCATAGTCAAAGTGCTAGCCTGCTGATTCCTGGTTTTGGGTGAGTTTGGATTCGAGTAAGGTTTCTACATACATCGATGGCATTACTCTCATTTGAATTATTTACAGTGGGTTTCGTACTTTACCTCGCTGTAGGCTCTCCTGTATGCAGTTTCTTCCTGGGAAGTTTCTGATGTGTCACTCTGGATATTGAGCGGTTGTCTTCTGTTTTTACTCGTCTATAATCAGCGATGCTTTGGACAGTTGTCTCGCCTTTGTGCGCGCACTGCATACAGTAATACTCGAAGACGAATTGAAGCGCAAGGAATAAACTGTCCACCATCATACCATCTTCCGGAGTGTGCCTTGCACTTTCAAGATGCCTAGTCTTGCTTCAGAGTGTGCAGTCTCTATATATGCTCCTTATAGTTCAATACAAAGTACTGGAGATTGCGGAAATCTTTACATACCTCGGTAGCTGTGTTAGCTCTGGTGGAAGTCAGTGCCCAGATCTCAAAGGTCCGAATCACGCTTGCTAGTTTACGTCACTTGTATCACTGTATCCAAACTACTATTAGGGCTGTATTATTGTATAGTTGCTATACATGGTCTCTGTGGATAGTGGATCTCGGGCGTCTTCAGGTTCCCGACCACTGATGACTCAGAAGCGTTGCCAGTATCGGATGACGTCAACTAATTCGAAGTGAGATGATCAGAAAACGGATTTTTCGGTTGTGCACCAACTACTTCAGTCGCGGAGAAAATCCAGCAACATCAACGGCAGTGACTCTGTCATGTGTCCTGCATGCCGAAAAGTCGTCTACCGAAACGATTGTTGTTTCCTGTGGCCCCTTCAGAATGGCGCAACCGACGAGTTGAACAACGTATGACTTGTCAAAAGGGTGTAAAAAAAGGTTCATCTGTAGCACCCTTCCGGTGCCTAACTCCCATGCTACCCGAGGGAAGCACGAGGGATGGAATACTGCCAGGTTGCTCAAGCCTAGACGGAGGAGGTCGAGAGGCAGAGGTCGGGTTCGAACCACGGACCTTCCGGCCAGTAAATTCGCGCTATAACCACTTGGTCCATCTCGTCCAAGTATAGGTGTTGTCGGTTTGGTCGGCCTTTTTGGATTGAGTCCCCATGACCCCCCTTCATTTGGTCGGATTCATTTCAAGAAATGTTGACTGATCGGTGTCAGTGACATTGATGCTGCCAATTTCTTTTCAGTGTCTAATTCAGCGCTTGGAGGTGTAGGCACCTCAAAATGCTTGCGACAGATGAGCACTATGTTCTCTCACACAGTAATTTTGCTGTCATTGATGATATTCAAACGATTAAATCACTACTTTGGCCAACCGTATTTTGCTAGTATGTTTGTCAGGCATTCAGCATAATGAGTGATTTAGAGCAAATAAAATATAGAATCGTAACCCCCACCCAATGCCTAGCTACTACGCAATCCGGTATAAACCCGAAGGCTGAATTAATGTCAGGTAACCCAGCCGTGAACAAAAATGAGCAAACAAGCACAACGGATAGCTTGATCGGTTGTGTAAAATTCACGTCGGCTGTAAAACCGCTGGTTGTTCGTTATCGTGGAATGTCCTCCTTACTTGTTCCCGTGGGTCCAGAGTATCGACTGATGTCTTACTATCCAGTGCCCGTTGTCATCGTATATTTTTCCTTTCCTTCTAGCTCCCCTCAGCGTCCACATCTCACCGGTTGGGATCCTTTACCCTCAAGTCTGTGTAGCTGGGAATTCTGTCCTCCGAATCCACCCAGTCGTTTGGGTCTGTTAAAGCGCTCTGCATCCACCAACGGCTTACTTGAATTCACCAGCACAACGGCGGTGAAACGCACGCAGACGGAAGATTCTGCTACCAACACGGATGATCGTGTGCCGCCTCCGGATAATCCCGAATCAGCTGATGTTGAACCGGTGTTCCTGGAATCACTGGTCTCACATGTTAGTGAGGCGTGTTGTTGTTCGTGCGACTTGTTCGCTATTCAACCGTGTTTCCATTCGAGGGGTGTCTATCATTATCGTATACACCTATGAACTACAGTCGCTTCCCTTGGCGAACGTGCGAGCTGTTCTTAATAATTTTGCTTCATGGTTTGGCATGCGCCTCATGCCATGGCGTCAGATCCAAGAAGACCTATGTCGTACTTAATATCTCTGACCGAACGTCCCGGGAGCACTTCGACTCCACAGGCATTATAGGCTGGTAGTGAGTCTTCTATGATCGTATCAATGGCGAATTAGAACGGGAAAGGTGAAAGATGTCGGTCTTGCCTGACACCACTTGATGTGGCGAACTCAGGCGAGAGCGGAACTCGGTGTACAACGCCTTAAGGAGAGTTAGAGATTTATGGAAGACACTTTTGATTCATAGACACTGTCATAGTACCTAATGGTCCACATAGTCAAAGGCAACTTTCAAGTCAATGAAGGCAACCAATGTTGGTTGGGCTCTGGAAACCGTATCACTGTTCCAGAATCTGTCGGAAGGTGATGCGATCGATGCATCCTCTTGTAGGACGTAATCCAGCTTGGTTTTCACGGATCTGGTCCCTCCTGTGTTCAGTCAACCTTCGAAGGATGAAACCAGACGGCACCTTGGATGCCAAAACTGGTAGGCTGATGCCACGGTGGTTTCCACACAGCTTCCGTGTACTCTTTTTTTCCAGATAGGTATAACTGTCGACATGCCCCATCCTGCATGAGTCATGCGCAGCCATTTCAGCTATTCACAGCGGTCCTACTTTGGCAAAAATATACCTCCATTCATCAACGTAATATTTCGACAAACCGCCGGAACACCTACAATTTGAGCACTTGACAACCCCCACCTTATTTTGTGGAATTTTCTGTAACTGCCAGCTGTGGTGGCTAGTATATACGCTACACATACTGAGCTGTCGTAGACCGATAGGATATTTGTCTCCCCCGCTACGTTCAGAATTGTACGAATTGAGTTGAGTATAGCATACAGAAGAGAGTGACGGAAAATGACAAATAACCCGCGTATGGTTGACGCCGTTGACGACCCAGAATGGGGACCGCCTAATCCTTCCTATATTCACTTGGAAACATAGCAATATATGACTGCTAGCGGAAGTCAATAGCGTTCGTGTCATCGCTTTCTGTCGGGGTCCCCTGCTTGAATGGGACTATAGGAGCGTCTGTTGGGGGCGGCGTGGTCTCTTTCGCTTTTTGTTCTCCTCTTTATTGCAGAGTTCTGGTTCAGTAGATCAGGCAGTTCTACGGCAACTCAGCTACAGAAAAAAATCGTTCAGCCATAACACCCTTCCGGTGCCTAGCTGCCATTCCACTCGAAGGAAGCGCGAGGGCTGAGACACTGTCAGGTTACCCAAGCCCAGAGAGGGGAAGTCTAGAAGCTGAAGTCGAGTTCGAACCACGGACCTTTCGGTCAATAAATTTACGCTCTAACCACTTGAGCCATCTCGCACCCCTCGCCTGCTGTCAGTGACGGTAATAATTCTGTTGGACCCCAACGAACCGTCTGAAAAAAAAACCCAGCCTGGATAGCTGTTTGCATGTACGTATTTTTCATAGGTGGATATGGCCTGTGTCACTGCTTATGTCCGCATAAATGTTAGATAGAATCAATGCGCGTTGGTCTATCTGCCAGCAACACACCAGTAGTAAGTACTGGTGCGCAACTGTCATACAACCAGCACGAACGAATGCCCCCTCTAAAGAGTGAAAGCGAATGTGAATGTTGGGAACCTATTCCTAACACCCGTACATCATTACAACATCAGCGAGATAGATGCGTGTGAACCCTATGACAAAGTAAGACGCCATCAGATTCAACGCCGAACCTCACCTAACGTGGGCTGAGCATAAAACAACGGAGTGGGAAATGGCAGCATGTTGATCACTAGTATCGGTCACGTGCCATGTCCTGTAGGGTTTCTCGCAGCTTGAATCACGTGGACCCCGACGAGCAAATTGTAGAGATCCCAGAACATTCAATTCGAAAGCCGACAGATACTTTCACTTCACGTTACCAACTCATGGCTTGTCTTCACGAGCCCTTCGGTAATAACAAAACAGTAGAAAATAGTATTTTCTTTGAAAGACGATGGTTTGCCATGTGTAGTGTACGTTGGACCACCTGCATCTGATAACTTTAATTTGTCACTCTAGTGATTCTATTTCACCACCAAGCGTTCGTTTACCTAGCAGCTGTGAACCTGGATAGCTGTTTGCATGTACGTATTTTTCATAGGTGGATATGGCCTGTGTCACTGCTTATGTCCGCATAAATGTTAGATAGAATCAATGCGCGTTGGTCTATCTGCCAGCAACACACCAGTAGTAAGTACTGGTGCGCAACTGTCATACAACCAGCACGAACGAATGCCCCCTCTAAAGAGTGAAAGCGAATGTGAATGTTGGGAACCTATTCCTAACACCCGTACATCATTACAACATCAGCGAGATAGATGCGTGTGAACCCTATGACAAAGTAAGACGCCATCAGATTCAACGCCGAACCTCACCTAACGTGGGCTGAGCATAAAACAACGGAGTGGGAAATGGCAGCATGTTGATCACTAGTATCGGTCACGTGCCATGTCCTGTAGGGTTTCTCGCAGCTTGGATCACGTGGACCCCGACGAGCAAATTGTAGAGATCCCAGACCATTCAATTCGAAAGCCGACAGATACTTTCACTTCACGTTACCAACTCATGGCTTGTCTTCACGATCCCTTCGGTAATAACAAAACAGTAGAAAATAGTATTTTCTTTGAAAGACGATGGTTTGCCATGTGTAGTGTACGTTGGACCACCTGCATCTGATAACTTTAATTTGTCACTCTAGTGATTCTATTTCACCACCAAGCGTTCGTTTACGTAGCACTTCACTGTGAACCCTCTTCACTCAAATAACGCCTACTCTACTGTGCGGGTACTGACTGTCATACGTTTAAATCCTGGATTAGAGTAAGACTGCGGTAGTAGCCTTGTACTCACTATCCTTCAGTTCCTTCAGGACATTCGTCCTAAAGGACACAAGTTCGCTGGCGCCTTGACAATGTGTGCATTGACTTTTGTCACGATTTACGCCCTTCACTTCCAGAGCTCCTCATAATACGACTGCTTGTGGTACCGGGATCCTCTGCCTGTTGTCTGAGCTAATTGTTGGCCTTTCTGGCGCAGTCTCAACCCGGTATACAGCGAAGTTTCATTGCCACGCCAAGGCTTAACCATCGTATCAAAGCGATAGCTGTCCTATCCAGGCATACAGGTGTGTAGTTGATGTTTGCTACGAACGGCAGAATGATTTTTGTTCCAAGTCCAGTACACCATTCACTTAATGAGTGCCTTGGCGTCACGGATAATAATGGCTGATGTGCATGAATCGCTTATTATTGGAGCGGGCTGATGTTACTTAGATGTTTTGATACCCTGTTTTGCAAGAAAAAGGACGCCAACCGCACGAATAGGCTCTTTGTCTCGAGTGGGCAAGTATGGAGAGTTCCGGAACCGATTCTTATTTTGGAATGGTCTTGGGGCGCAAAGACTGCATATTTTCTCGTGAAGTGACTAGGTTAGGCTTTTCAACTCAGGTGCTCTTTTCGGGGCATTGGTGAACTGAAGATTCGGTGCAAAACGAAACTGTTCTGCAGGTGTTTTCCGTTCGATAGGTCATCTCTGAAATGTGCTTGGAATTTGTTTGTGGTGAAAATGCTGGTGTGACTACACAGCGGATATATTAAATGCAACTGTCCGACGTTTCGACCACCGAGGGAGAGCTTTTATCAAGAAACAAATGACACGTGACTAGCCAAGGTTTGGTCATCTTACTGCCATGTGTGCTGTGCTTGGTGTGCCACTCGTGAGCATCCTGTTACTTGCATGTGTGTAGATGTTTGACACCTGACCTGGGGGCTGAATTCTCGTGTCACTTTCGACCTGTGCTGCTTGAGTTGCCCTTGTATGATGTAGTAAGCCGTATCGAATGCATGACAGCCGAACATTGTCAGGCCTATTAGCGCACAAGGGCTTCATGTGGCTAGCAGCATCTCTGTTCACATATCTCAAGATTTTCTGGAGCTGAAGCGGGTCTCTTTGCAGACCGGTGCGTATATTGAAGCTGAAGAGCACACAACGGGTGCTTTCAGGAGTGTGATACCGGCGCGCAATCGATTGTCTCAGCTCTCTGGTTAACTGCTGTATTTGGGTCGGGTTGCTGAAGCCTGTGTTCCTGATCGTCGATTCCGGGCAAGGTTGTGCTATTCCAGATCTTAATCTCTCGGCCAACTGGTGTGCGATTTATCGCTCGCTTCATTTTCAGTAGATGAGCAGAGTTAAAGTTTGAGTGACAATCTGATTGGGTTGTTTTGCGGGGGACTGCGGTCCCAAGGGACTGTACAGTCAGAAAAAGCAATCGCTCTGTTAGGCGTCTCAAGCGAATGGAGTTACATAAGGTGCTGAGGTATGATTAGAACTGAATCGTTTAAAATGTCTTTGTGATGACAATGGTGTCGTCGAAACATCTCAGCCAAACGTTCTGGAGATCGTCAGAATTGCTGAGCGCCGGGGACTTAGACTGTGCTAAAAATACGTGGACTAAAACTAGCGAAACAGGTGGACGCATGGCAACTCCAGCATTCGGTTGGTAAATCTTGTCATGGGACGAGAATACACGGTTTTGTCGGGTACTACTAATTCTGGTCTTTACTGACGTCTACTTTGTTTAGATTCGTTAGTCGAAATCATGGAATGCAAGAAACCTATTTTTATCATCGGTGTCACCGTTGTTGTCCTCTCCTGCTGCGTTTACATGTTTCTTGCATGGGTGAAACTTGCTTTTCGTCACGTGACTAGTTTATTTTAAGAAGCGAAGTGCAAACTGAGTGCGGTGATTGACATCAATGAACGCCGTGTAGAGTGACCGACTGCGGTCCAAAATGATATTGTTGTCCGAGTTGAATCACGCTAGGCACTCTCTAACTGTACGTTTGCTTAGCGCTGTTGCTCTAGAGCAACTCTGGACTAAATCGGATTCCATTTTCAGACTCTCATCTCCTTCATAGATAAAACAACAAGCACACAACACTTGGAATAAGAGGTGAACAGTCAAACCGGAGAAGCGAACCTGGCTCGTCTAAACTCTATCTGGACCCAGAGCACTTGTTTTCGATGACATAGTGTTGTATATCAATTGAGCAGAGCTACTATTCCAGTCTTCTCGCTCATCCACCTTCACAGCATTTAGAAACCTGAGCTTAATCAGAGCACATTTGAGACCAGTCTCTGGATATTTGGGACGACGTCAATCAGTTTGCTAGGTGTATCAAACTAGGTGCTGCTAGTGTATGAACACCCTGTATCCTCCTGTCTAAACCGCCAGCTGGCAGTATACTACGCTACACAGCCTCGATTTCCGATGGGGCTGCTATGTGTTTTGTGCGTTCATGTTGAAATTTGATTTGTAGTTCTCCTTGCTTTACCCAATTCCCTAGTTCAACATGACCGCCATTGTGCCGGGTAGTCACTCGACCACCTCGAGACTGAAGTCGGGTGTGTGTTAGCTTATGTCAGTCACGTGGTTACTCTGTTTTTCTTCAACAGCCCGACGACAGCCCACAAGAAAATCAACCACCAGAGACCGCACCAAGTCCTTGTTCGTTACCCGAGGATTTCGCCTCACTTGTGCTGGAACCCATACCTACGGATGACCTGTACGTGGATCCCGAGTTCGCGACACCCACAGCCCTGATGTCCTCTAGTTTCCACTCCACCCAAACCAACTTCTCCAATGCAGAAGAGTCGACGGAGCCTCCACGAGACCAGCTTGACAAATGTCTGGATGAGCTTGGCGCCACACCCACGCAGGCCGTTGGAACCGTTGTCGAAAGTGCGTCTCATTATTCCGATTCATTGTCCGCTTGCAAACTACTTAGAGGTATAATTTATTGCTGGTGCATATCCCAAATCTTAGTTTCACCCGCAACTCCATTTTAGGCTATTCGTTAGTCTTCGGTCCATTCCTAATTGGCTTGTCCCTACAGTACATACATCTCACACCCCTTCACGCCATCGCCACTTTTTAGTTTGTTACACTGACCAGCCTGGCAGTCTATTGCATTCGCCGAGATGATTGTGGAAAGAGAACCTGGCTAACACAACCTTTTTTTTGTCCTTGAAGTTTGCTAATAGGCGTGCTTAATGTACTTGTCAGTTTCGCAGTACGGACGGCAATAACGCACCGTCCTCGTCAGTTTGTTCGTTTATCGGGTTGGAGGAAGCCAAGCGATGTGAGTTGGTTGTTTCATCATTTCTAGCGGACCGGTGATAAACTCATTCGAGCAGAATAATACCATATCTCTTCAAACATGTCTGTAAAACAAAGCACAACATTGTGAGGTGTGGGGTCACTGTTCTAACGCTTCGGCCACCATGGGTAACCGTCGTCAAGGCTTTTTACAGCCTAGTGAACGCATGGATCAGCCCTCATGTGTCATGACCGTGATCTTAGTTCTGATGTCTGACGCGGGTGTGTCCACGCATGTGTGCGTGCTTGTGCTTAAGTTCCCTTTGGACCGTGACATTATCGATCGGCTGATATGTGGATGAGGTCTGTCCTCTGAGGTGACGTGTGGGCAGTTGTCCGAATTCCGGTCACCGTGCTAATTCGATCGTGTGGTTAGGTCTACCAAGATAGAATCCAGTTCCACCCTTGCGGTTGGCGCAGATAGACTCATGGGCAGACACGCGCTCTTGCCTCTCACTCGGACCGGATGCCGGAGCTAAGCTCGCTGTCAAACCAATCGTAACACAGGATGACTGACCCATGTTACTGTTTCTGCTTACTCTTATTTAGCTGGTTGTAATACGGCAACCAGAAATTTGGGATGGTGACGTCATACCCGACGACGCAGTATTTTGGATTGCTTTCCCGTGATATGCGGATCAACTGCCGTCCAGATTGCTTACGTTTTTCGACCTGTAACTCTGAAAGGAAGAGGAGGATAAACAGACAGCTCCGGAGGGGCCTACTTTGGTCGTGTAGCCTGTGATCCCCCATTCAGTCTGCCAATATTTTCCGGTACCTATAACTAACTCATCAAGGCCGCCTCATCCTACCAGACAGAAATCTTAGTCCCACTTATTTTTCATTTTGCGCTCCCTAACATCAGAAGGTCAAGATGCTTAGGACGGCAAAACTATGCAGTCCGCAAGCATGAGTTTAGCTACCCTTTTCTTGTATTTATGCCCATCAGTTTGGTTCCGCAGCTGATGGCGTTATAAGCTTTCAAGAACGTTGAACTCTAGTTTGGTCGGAGTAGTTGACTTTATAAATTGCTTTCTATTCACCCTGCTTGTGACCAGAGGACTTGGACCGATGGCACTTGCCAGCAAGAACACGAACGTGCGTCAAATCGCTCGCAGTACGGAAATTCAATGAGTAATAGTATAAGAAGCGAATCGGTCGTTTGCAAACTCAACCAACACCTTCTATATCCTGCCTAAGTGCGAGTTAATCACACTCCTGATCATCCACTCGTGGCCGAACGGTTAAGTGTTCAAACTACTAACCGGGAGGTCGCGGGTTCGAGACTGTTCGGAGTTTCGTGAGATGCGCACTGCTGATGATTCCCAATAAGGATGAAACAGTGCTTCTCGGCTTTTCAGCATAGATTGGCTTCACTTACAGGACGAAATCACCACAAGGAACAAGTCCATCTGAACACAGACCCTATGTACTCTACGCACTGCGTCATAACCGAGTGAAGTATTGCTCTAGAAAGGACATCTTTCGTAGCTTTTGCTTACCGAATCTATTAGAATTTCCAGCTCAGCACAGTAAAGCCTACCGAAAAGGACCGTATGATTGGCGCTGCGATGCCCGCTCATTTGTAAACGAGATTGGGGTTGGCGGGCTACTCAGATGGAATTCACGTGACTTTCTCGCGTACAGTATTCTTTATGTGGATGGGAGGTGCATGGGCCGCCTCGGAACGATAACCAAAAATATCGAACCATTTTCCTTGAGGGTGATCCAGGTTTTTTATCGATCCTGTGATTACTAATGAATCATATGATTCATTCTTGGCCTTAGGATTGAATTCCCACAACATAACTATCTCATTCTGAAACATCTTTCTGGTTGTTCGGACCATGGGGGAACATTAGCTCAATTTCCGTCAGTGGTCTTTCCAAAAAACGGATACCCACATAACTTTCAGACAAACACATTCTTCGGTGCTGTTGTGGACTAGATGGCGACAAATTGCGTGTATTCCATAGAGGAAAATGTCGGTAGCTCAGGTAGCGTAGGCGGTGGTCGTTGGCTTGTTCGCTGAGCTGGGCAATTTGATTGCAATCAAACCAATCAACCACCAAACTGCGTGTATGCCGTAGAGTTTGATCGTTCCAGAACTAATTCGTCAAAAGATGTCTGATTCCATCTGGTAGCTAAATGTACTATAAAAACGAAACTCTATTTTTTGCTTGACATAGCACTGCTCAGAAGGTTGATGAAGGCTTTTCGTTAACTTACTTCCGCTTTTGCCCTTCTTGGAGCTTGTCAGGTAGACGTACTCCCTAAGTATCAATCGGCCCTACACGCCAAACTGTACGCCAGTGGAGTTATACAGTCACTCTGAAACGAAGTTTGGTGTTAACTAGGAGCTTAACTGAATTTCAGCCGAATTTCTCGTTTATGATGTGAGTTGTGTCGTATGAAGCAAATCATTCCGATGGTTCGCATAGCGTTTCAACTGAAACGAAGTAAAGCGGCCTTGGTGCATCGCACTCAGTTGAGCGAGCCGGTCAGGTTAGCAACTACAGACCATGCACCAAGAGTAACTTAGTCCCATTCGCTACAGTCTTGGTCCCTGGAAAACCGTAAAGCCTGGGAGATGGCGTAATCAGTTAGTTGGCATCTGTTGTCCACCGCACCCTGTAAATTGTGATCGGAGTTAATTTGTGTACCCAACTCAGGAACGACAATCTTTCACTGAGGCTCCAACGTTAACATCGCTCACCTAGGTCCACGGCTGATTGGCTTGCGGTTGCTGTTTCTGAGTAGCTCACTGTGAGTTCTGTTGCTCATACCGACCAGGAACACAACTGAAGAAGTCATTCCCGATTACCCGACTTCGAATCTGCTACTTAACTTTACTTCTTCCGAGCCTTGTCATCCCAAGTGGGCACTCATATCTTGCTGACCGAAGCAGTCGCGTCCGGTTTCGGTAAAACCCATCTTTCTCACTCTTGAAAATGCATTCTTTCCGTGCGTATAATGCTGACAAACAGACACCATTGACTTCATCACGTCCTAGTTAGCGCTCTCCCGACGTGAGGCCACCCCCATACAAAAGGTCTAATTCTACGTCCCCCCAGGTGGTGGGGTTTGTTCTGCTTGGTAATATGTGGTACACACCATACAAAGAACTATGACGGCTAACTCGTCTGTCATCATTCGTCTGGAGATGTGGTCAAATACTGTGTATTGTTGTAGGATGACAGATAGTTACGGTACGTTTTCCAATCCGGCACCTGAGCTAACGGTTACGTCTCTGCTCGTCTAAACTATGACCAGTAGAACGGACACCAACTTCCAAAGCTATGTACGAATTCATGTTGTTTCAAGTGCGTATACCAACAATATTCCAACTGTTTGACCTGCTTCTGGACGCGCCGTCAGCAACTAATGGCAAGCAGATACGGAAATGCGATTGATTGCTACATTCATATTACTGGCCAATCAGAGCTCGCTCCCTTGCTTGAGCGAGTTCACTACTGATTCGACTAATCGGTCGGAACCGTTCGACCGAACAACTGATGTGATCATAGGTCAGTCTCGGCTAGCAGCACATATGTTAACACACGCAACACTACCCAACTCACAACCACCAACCAATCGCTACGCGACACTACGCTCCCCAAAAACGCACCGATGATGTCACCTCGACTTTTGCAATCAGATTGCCCAGCTCAGCCAACAAGCCAACGACCAAAGCTTCAATTGTCTACAGAACCCAGTGCACACTCCTCGGGTTGAATCCCAATTTCATCCTTTGTTTGAGACTAAAATTAGTTATACTGTCGCGCGCTTCCTCACTCACCACTTTAAACTGACAGCCAAAACGTGCCTAGCTTCAGTCGAACTGTGGACCTGTTTATTAGGAGAACCAGCTCTGAACTTAATGGGACTAGATAATAGCCACTGGGATAACCGATTTCGTTGAAACAGATTTCATTGGTTGTTCTTCACTCGCCCTTGAGTTGTATTCCTAGTACGCGACAGTGATCCGTAGATCAGCCGGTTCGCACGTTCATTGACTTTTCTGGTTTGGCCAAGCGCACCAGGCTATCAGTCGGCTATCCAGACCCGGGTTCACGGTAATAAGAAGGCATTAGAGTGACTGTGGTCCACAACACTGATCATATTGTCGGTTCGTTGTTATGGTGACCCACCTAATCACTGAGACAGTGAAATGTGTTGACGACGTCTACGCAGTGTGAAGTTGCTTTTCGCTTCTCAGACCTTGTGCAAATTTCCCACGAATGTTGATGTGACCTTGGAATGTGTTATCTATTTCCGAACTGAATACGGCCAGCTACGGAATTCCGCAGGTGCGTTTTCAGGAAATTCACATTAGGGAAAGAAATCTGGTGTCACATCCAGCCTCTTCATAGGCGTGTAACTTTCCTGTGAAATTCTTATCTGAATTGGCTTGACGGCCCATGCAAACCGAACAAAAACCCACGTGGTTAAGCTAACCTTTTAGTAAGAGCAGCTGATCTTTGACTGTTTCTCTTTTCTCGGTATGTTCAGTTTAACGGTATCGCTTGGTTGCACTGAATTTATGTTATTCTAGACTGAATCTGACTATTCTTACACGGTTTCTCTTTCCGATGGCTTCACCAGCCAAAACATATAGCTTTTATAGCTATCACTCCAGCGTGAATAGGATGCACGTTATGCGCTCTCACCAGCCGAACATTGAAGGCCGTAGGCTGTACGAAATGATACAACAGCATCTCTAGATGTCTGGCATTCCTACGTTAGCTGAGCGTCTGAAGTAAGATGAGCCTTCGTTCACCCAAACTGCTTGCCTGGTAGCCACACCCAGCGAAACACGAATCACACTACGCGCATATCTGTTCGAAAGATTAACCGAAGTCTACTTCGGAGAATTTAATTTTACATATTGTTGATCTCAGTTAACAGTCAGCAGTAGCACCAACCCTGGGTACTTACTTCCAATCGATACACAGGGGGAATGTTTTCCGTACTACGTAGGCTTATGTTGTGTTCCACTCTGCTCAGTTCTCGTGAACGTCAACAACGTGATTAAGTGGGTGATTTCACGTGACACCGAAACGTCACGTGCACGTCATGAGTTTTGGTTGGTAGATTGGTTTACGGGCGTATGGATCATACAGGAAGTCTGACGATATCCTTGTGCCACACTATCGAATGTCCCGTTGAGATAATTTTGTTTACTCGTTAATCTTTTCTCCTCCACCCAATCGTGCACTGCTTCCTTTGCAAGTTGTTACCGTCACCCCATGAGGTCTGCCAAACAAAACTGCCCATCACCGATAAACGATATATTTGAAACATAACCTTTTTTTCCAAATATGAATAGAACACAGATAAGCTGCTACATGTATCTCTCCGGGTGTATACTGCAGAATATTAGTAAATAAATAGAACGTGACAAGAGTTTTGGTCATTGGGATGATAGAACCAGGTCAACGGACTGTCAACAATATGACGAATTCTTCGTTCTTGTTTGAATCTTCTGGTAGCAATGGAAACTGCTGCAACCTGTCATTTGCTGTCATGTCCATGATATGCGACGTGACTGCCAGATCGATGCAGTTCCAAATAACTGTCGGGCTGTCTATGTAGGCGGTATCGATCACGTCTCCGGACTTGAATTTGTATTTGGGCATGCTGGGATTAGTTGAGTGAACTGCTGGTGCGTCCAAATCGGGATATGTTTCACCCACCTAGGTGTGTGGTCGAACATCCGCACAAGAATGGCATACTGAGGCAGTGTTACTTGATATTATGCACAGGAAGGCTATTTGCCTGTATACCGGCTCAATATGCTGTGTGACTTGTGGACGTGTGCAATGCGCAGCTACCTACCTCCCCCCCCACCAACTCATCGGTGAACGAAACTGCGGCAGCTACAACCACTGTACGACGAGTACGCGGTTCTTACAGCTAACAATGATGATGATGATGATGATGCTGTGTGACTGGTGCTCAGTTTTGTGATGCATGGGTGAATTAGTATTTTTGTTAAATGAAAACCCAGATAACCTAGCAACAACTATCTGGCATATGCTTCGAGGATACCTGATCGTTTTATGCCTGTTGAAAATTATATGATCGGAGTGTGCGACTGCTTGGCACCGCTTTTTCGCGCCCCTTACAGTTTTGCGGATATCTCTAGTGACCTTTCCAGGGGTTATAGCGCGAATTCACTGACCGGCAGGTTCGCAGTTCGAACCCGACCTCCGCATCTCGACTTGCCCTGTCTAAGCTTGAGCAAGCTGGTGGTATCCCGATCCTCGTGCTTCCTTCGGGTGACGTGGCATCTAGGCACCGAGTGGGTGTTACAGCTGAACCGTTCGTTATTTATCTGTTAGTGACTTCCAAGTGAACTTTATTTAATTAATCAAGCTCTTCAACTTTTATTCAGCTCGATTCGAATTGATCGGAAATCAATTTTAACCCAGACTGGCTTTAAACGTAATGCTATCGCTCAATCGATGTTTTGCTAACCTACTGTAAGGCTACTTAAAAGGTTGGTTAGCTAATCCTGACCTTCTGTTGCCGTGCACGCTGGCCTCCGCTAGTTGGTGATGTTATGCTGATCACAAAAGTATCGCTAAAGTTCTGCCACCAAGTATTGCACTGTTGCACTACACTCGGAACACACGTCACATAACGTCTAATGCTAAGTTTGTTTTGACTTGGTGAACCGTTGGATGTATCATTAGTGGACCATTACTCGTTATAAATACACCCCATTCCTTACGTCGCCTGTGTGCATGTGTAAAAGTTGTTCTCATGGTGGTACCCTCCGTCATATCGTCACCATGTTGCTATCTGTCATCGGGCAGCCAGACCACCAAAACCGGGTGCCGATTGTCGTGACAGAGTGTGTTGAGCGTTTTGTTGAATTTTATCTGCCAACACGACGTCATCCCAGTTTTAGCTTGTGCACTGACACAGAAGAGCGACATTCTATTCCACTAAAAGCGTGTGATGTAGCTGTTCGTACGAAAATCAGAGCATATGTACGATCGGATATTTCTTTTTTCCTGCTCTTGATGAGTCTTTTGCGAGTGTCGTGCAAAACAACGTGCGCTATGAACTATGAACTACGGTGTCTGGAGCATGTTTATGGTACCCGTCAATCAGCCTTTCCAACCCATTTCATTAACGTGTATCATTTAAGACCGTATCGTAACTGGATACCTAATCGATGCAGCATATAACCATCCGCGGGGCGAGATGGCCCAAGTGGTTAGAGCGCGAATTTACTGACCGGAGGGTCCGTGGTTCGAACCCGACCTCTGCCTCTCGACTTGCCCTGTCTAGGCTTGCGCAACCTGGCAGTATCCCAGAGCTCGTGCTCCTTTCGATGGCAGCTAGGCGAAGGGAGGGTGTTACAGCTGAACGATAACCATCCGCAGTCGCTTGGATTATCGAGCGTGAAGGAAGTAGTATTCGAATGTGGATTCAGTTTGAATTGTTGCTGTCCATTGATCTCGATACTTACTGTACTTATCTCCCGTGTCACAGGATTGGTCGGCCTTAGAAGCGTTTCAGACAGTATTTGCCCACGGTCGATAGACAGATAGGCGCAACTGACGGCCCAGCGCTGCTTCGTTTCGTTATGTTCCAGTGACCTTAAGAAGTACGGAACACGACCACAGACGCGAAGTACTCAGATGAAGTAAATGACCAGGTACATATTCCAATGGTGACTAGCCTGTGTATATTTTCTAACGAATGGCGTTTTCATTCACCAACCTGGTGAGCCTCAAATGGCCCAGCGCTGCTTCGTTTCGTTATGTTCCAGTGACCTTAAGAAGTACGGAACACGACCACAGACGCGAAGTACTCAGATGAAGTAAATGACCAGGTACATATTCCAATGGTGACTAGCCTGTGTATATTTTCCAATGAATGGCGTTTTCATTCACCAAACTGGTGATGCCTTGAATGGACAACATTTCAAAGTCGACGTCGAAAACACATACATACGAACCATGATCACTATCACACCATTTCTATCATGATCTGTCATAGTTCTCAGTTCATGAATCCATCAAACCGGTACTGGTTTCAATAACTCTGTCGAGCAGTTCTTTGGAAGGATTCGTCTGTCGCAACTCGTTGACTCCAACCGGTCTTTCCTAATAACCTCAAGTGACGTTGAACTCGCGAAGTGATGTGACCACGCTCAGCTGCTGGTATTTTACATATCTAGATTGCTCAGAAGGAAGTGCTACATCGGGCTTAGACAAACTATCTCTCATCCTCCGTTATTTCACCGCAATGGCTAAAATCGATGTTGCTGACTGACTGACACGCTCGCCTGCAACACCTTTTCGGTGCATATCTGCCTTGCCTGCTGAAGAAAGCATGGGGCCTTACATGGTGACAGGTCGCCTAAGTCTAAACAGAAGTGGTCGAGATACCGATCCACGAACCTTCCGGTTCGCTTTACAATCGTCATCATTATCAGCTGTAAGAACTGCGTACTTAGGGTACAGTGGTTATAGCTGCCACAATTTCGTTCATGGATGATCTGGGGAAGTAAGATGCGTAGCTGCGCATTAGAGGCGGGAGCTGATAAATTGGTGCGTAAATACAGGTTTGTCAGTGGACTTTCAAGTGGCAGGTGGTTGGGAAGGGAGCTATGCATTGAATGCAGTGGCTCACAGAACAGCGAGTAAGTCTCATTTCAGAAACTAAAACAAGGTAACTACTGGAAAAAAGTTCTTCTGTGGACTAACCTAACATTGTTTTTGTCACGTTAGAGTTGTCGTTGGATTGAATATGGAACCGTGTTAATGTTTGACTTCATTATAACGTTACCTTCATTCTCTGGTAAATGTTATGAAAAAATCCATCGCCGTTACAGCGAGTGTAAATTTTATTCATTTGACATTCTGTGTTGCGGTATTTTCCATATCTTGGCACTCCGTTTTTTTTGCAGATTATAACGTGGCCAGATTATTTGATTCATCTGTTGTTACCGCGTTTTCTCAATTATTTTCCAGCGCCATCGTTCCCATCAGACAGCGGAGGGTGGTCGACACCGGCATCACTTGTAAATCCTCAAACTTGTTCATGTCAGCTCAACAAATTGCACGCTGCCTGTACGGACCTTCTTGAGCTTTTCTCCTCGAACCCATCAATTTTAGAGACCATGAGCAGTTCCAGTGGTGATGACGTGGGTCTTCTAAAACAGGTCAGTAGCTGTTTTTTTATTCGTTTTAACGGCGAAGAAAGTGGGGAAACCATCAGCAGGGGTACCTGTGTGACCACAGTCCTCATGGCTTTCGAACTTTTAACTTTGACTGCTGAACAAACCCGAGTGGCTCTTTTAGCTCGTATCATTTTGACTCTTTATGCTGAATATCATGTGACGGAATTATCGATACTCGTGTTATTCAGCGGACTCACTTGGGATCGCATTCTGAGGAAGCATCTTCAAAACTCAAAATGAACGCCCATTCACGTTTAGTGGCGGTTTCTCCCCCATGAACTTCGTAGATCGCAGTCGCCTATGCTCTGTGTTCGGTAGTAACATTTACTCAGATTGCTTCAAAACTCAAAATGAACGCCCATTCACGTTTAGTGGCGGTTTCTCCCCCATGAACTTCGTAGATCGCACCTACCTATGCTCTGTGATCGGTAGTAACATTTACTCAGATTGTTGCCTGATGAAGGTGAGGACCAACACAAGCGGCGTCCTCAGTTTTGTTTTAACGGCGAAGAAAGTGGGGAAACATTTACTCAGATTGTTGCCTGATGAAGGTGAGGACCAACACAAGCGGCGTCCATGTTTTGTTTTTTTATTCGTTTTAACGGCGAAGAAAGTGGGGAAACATTTACTCAGATTGTTGCCTGATGAAGGTGAGGACCAACCGGCGTCCTCACCATGTTTTGTTTTGGGTTACGCCGGTAACCTCCGTGTGGCCACGACAGCGAAAAAATAATGTACAACATCAAATAACCCCACCATCGAGGTCGTTGGATCTGGTCATTCTCATACGTCAATTCCACCGGAACTCTTCCCTCCCTCCTGACCGCATTAAATGGTTGGACTACCCGGCTACCCGCTCCCACCTACCAAGCCGGGTCTCTGTCGTGTGGAAACAGCTGCTTCCAGCCACAGGCAAATGGGTTTTCTGTGGATTCCCGATCGCTCCATTAGTGATCTCATGGCATTCCAAACAAACATGATGCTCTGCCGCACCCTAGAGAGCAACGACCTATGGGAAGGGGACCATTTTATCGATCCTTGTCCCTACCTGATCTTCACACGCCCAGTATGTTTCCATCACAAGGATTCGGAAATGGCCATCGTGATTTTATCACCCGAAAACGGACGGCGTTCAGTTCAGTGGATAACATAGTCTACACATTACAGCCTACTTCACTGCACCCCGTATCTTGGAAGTTGTATTGATTCTGATTGTAGTGTGACAGATGAGGTGAATGCACGAATCTGCAACGCTCGGGCTGCGCTTGCTAATTTGAGACACCTATTGCGTCAAAATGGTTTATCC